TTGGGCACTTGTGCCAGGACTTGCTCTAAGTAACTTACATATACAGTCTATCCTCATTATTCTTTGATTCTGTGTGTGAATTTGCCTACTAGTTAAAATTTATTTGTAACCCCAAAATCAATACTTGCAGTACTTTTATAGTTATTCATGGACATGCTCGGAGCAGCAAAAAGTTTTAGGCACCCAATGTACAGGTTCGTAGCTGAGGTTTAATTTTAAAAGGTGATACTTTACCATCTTGTTTCAGCTCTCATACTCTAAACAAATGCCCTTTTCATGATCTATTTAGTACCACATTTAAAAAATTTTCGTGCATTTTGTTCGATCATTTCATTGTTTAAATTGATCCCCAGCCATAAAGCTGAAGTGCTGTCCTATGTTTCTAAGTGCAAGGAGGCTGTGATATGCTTTAGGGTGAAGATATGTGTGTTAGATAAGCTTCATTCAGGCATTAAATATAGTTCTGTTGGCTGTAAGTTCAATGTTAACTAATCAGCAATATATGTTAAGTAAGGTTTCTTTAAACAGGAACACACATAAGACAAGGTTATATATTAATCAGTTGACTAAAATGATGTAACAAGAGCCTCGTAGGAATCTGTTCCTGTATTTCCCCTAGGAGCAGTAGTTCAGTAATCAATAATTCAGTATTTGTGGTGACTATATAACACAATACTGAAAATAATGATGATTGACTGTATTAGTAACTCATTTAATCATCACCAATGCTATGAGGCAGGTATTATTGTTTATGCTGTTTTACAGATTAAGAAATTGAGATGCTATGTGTGATTAATTTGTTGAAGGTCACATAACTATTTATTAGTGAAACCAGGTGTTGAACTGAACAGTTTGGTTCCTAAGCTCACTCACTATATTGACCATATTGACTCTACTAAGGGTTGAAGCATTTTATTAAAGAAGCTGGGAATTTAGCCACCGTTAAAGAAAGCATGCTTAAAGGAGCAAACTTGAAAGAAGTGGGTGGATTGTTATGTAGAAAGAGGATTTAGACTTCCCTGTATTTTCACAAGGTAGAATTACTGTCATTAAGAGAAGTAGAGAAACAGATTTCAGTCTAGTACGAAGGCTGTTCAAGGGGTGGACCATCGTGGGATTTAATAATATCTTCAAACTGGAAGTATTAAACAGAGGTTTAAATGAAAATGTGTCAGTGATATTTAGATGGGAACATGGGAATACTTTATTCAATGAAAAGTTGGACTAGTTAATACCCAAAGTCTCTTCCAATCTGGGTATTGTGGTTCTTTCACAGTTTTCAATGGCCGTTGGCATTATAGAACACTTTCTCTACACTGTTATAATTTCTGTTCTTATTGTAATTTGTATGTCATTGTCATTCCTGGTCAGTTCTTTTCCCTGACTGAAACTGAATTAGCAAACTGAAATCTGTAGTTGTATAGGACTTTCAAATTCTTTTTTCCTCATATTTTGGATCACCCTTATTTGCCTGTTCCTTCTCTGTGGTATTGTTTAATTTTCCCCTTCCTCTTTTTCTTTTTTTTCCCTCTAAGTATTATAGACTTTATTTATATAGCAGTTTTAGATCTATGGAAAAATTGATCAGAAAGTACAGATAGTTCCCATACCACCTGTACTTCCTTTCTTATCAGTAACTCTGGCCAGTCTGACTTTGCTTATATTTATGTCTTAATAATACCTCTTCTGTTAGCTTTTTAATATTAGGACCTCAAGCCATGTAAAACCACTTTATAATAAATTATTGAGTGCCACTTAACATTTATGTTTTTACAGTGCTTTTACTTTTCTAAGACTTTTCTCTGTGTTGCTTCATTCAATTTGGGGAATGCTGATGGCAATTCCATTTGATCAGATAGACATTATGCCTGTTAAACAGAAGAGGAAGCATAATGATTATACACCTCTACATCATTTTTTATTCTTATTAACTCTATACTACCCCAACTCTTCTACCTTAAGACATATTGACTTATTTTTATTTCTCAGATTATCTCTGTTACCTAGAGTACTGCCTATTTTATGTTGTTTTTACCTTTTAAAATATTGCATTTTATTTTTCAAAAATTTTAAATTTCTCTTATCAGTAAAGAATCTGGGCTGGCTGGTCAACTCAGTTGGTTAGAGCTTGGTGTTATAACACCAAGGTCAAGGGTTTGGATCCCTATACTGGCCAGCTTTCAAAAAAAAAAAAAAGAAGAATCTGAGCTGTGGATATGAGGTATGAAGTTCCCACCCACATCTTGCATGTATTCATGCATTTACAATAAGAAAAGGAAAGAAAATAACTTATTCATTTTTTTTTCCTTGTCAGGTAGGAAAAAGGAAGTGTGTGTTAGAATAATTACTTCTCAGCAAAAAAACACCATAGTTCTGTTATCTCATTGTTTGATATCCCTTATTCTCTTATATAACACTTTTTAACCCATTTTAATATCTTTGTTTTTTACTATTCAAATCCTAATTTCTTCCTTTATACACTTTTTAACCCATTTTAATATCTTTGTTTTTTACTATTCAAATCCTAATTTCTTCCTTTATATTCTTGTTTTATATAGTGTTTATATTATCATCCTTTTATTATTAATCAGGTCAATGTTTTACTGATTTTAAGTGGTATCATTTTGGAACTCAAAAGATATAGTCTAATTTTTAAGAACAGAGCATGCTTATATGAATTCTTAATAGTGTTTAATGAAGAGAATGACTGTTAAGAAGTAAATTGACTATTTCCTTTTTATGCCTATGAACCTTTACATATGTGTATTTTGTGCTGAAAGTTTAGCACAGTTTTACTACTTTGTAGAGGAATAAGAATATGAGTTAGGGGTTTTTCTTTTTGGCGTATATAAAGTAGTAAACAGTAATACATATGAAAAATAAAACACTTAGTGTATAGGTTTTTAAGTATTATAAGGAGTCATAGGCTCAATTAAACTAATTTTGCCCTTCATTCTATTAATATGGTATATTACTTTGATTGATTTTCATGTGTTGAAGCAGGCTTGCCTTCCTGAAACTCTGTTTTACTCATGTTTATGTCTTTTCACAGATATAGTATAGCAAATAGTTGGCAATTAATAAATATTTGTTTAATAAATGAGAGGAAAAAGGAATAGTGTTAAACAAAATCACTATAGGATTTAAGTTTCTGTTCAAAAGCAGCCAGTAATGTAAACTTGCGTATTTAAACCAGCTTAGGAAGTGACTATTCAGTAAAGCAAAACTTACAAATTATATAAATACATAGAGCAGATAGTACTATGTATACATAAATGGTATGAAAGTCTGTAAATTAAAGCTGTTATACTTATGATCAGGTTCTTAGTAAAATAATTCTGTGCAACTGCTGTATTAACCTGTGCCAGCTGAAGTTTTAGACTGACGAACACTGCACACAGACAGGATGGGGAGGAAAACATGTTTTACTTCTATGTAAAGGTTAGGGAAGGAAGTTGATGCAGTCAGGAGATACAGCGGAAAGATCAGCTATTTTATCTAATTGCAGATGGTGGTGTAGGCTTCCAGGACCTCCAAAAGTTACCAGTAGTCATACAGTTTCAGATGACATGTCTGATCATCACACCTGAACTTCTATCTGCTCTCTTTAGGCCAGCCTTATAAAATGGAGATCAGGATACATCCTTACCTGGATATATGCAGGAGATCTGTTTCATTCAGACCAAATGTACCTTATTAATCTCTGAGTTATACAGTGCTATATGACCACTAGAGGACAGCACATGTACACTACAGAATCATGAACAAATTTCTTATTCGTTATTCTCAACTCACTCAAGCTAACATCACTTGGGTGAAGTGCATTTCTAAATTTAGTGATGTGAAACTAAGATTTAGCCACCCAGACATATCTGAGATTCATAGTAATAGGCCCTTAAACCAGCTGTAGAAATGACCTAATCTATTTTTTGTATGTTTCAGCTAGTAGTTGTTGCCAAAAAAGATAAATTTAGAAATGCTTTTTTGGGGTATGAAAATCAGAAGTGTTTAAATCTTACCGGAAAGACAGAAAAGGCATTATTTCATGTATTTTTCAAAACATAGCTTAGTTATGGTCCCAGAGAAAAGCTGTAGGAAGTTTGTATGCCTTACTAGCCAAAATTTGTATTGAAGTACAGCCAATAGCTTGCTCATTTTTCTTTCTCACCTCCAAAATTAACCACAGTTGATGCTGTGCTGAGTTTTCTGATTACTGGGACTGGGTTTTATTTATTTTTGTGGCTCTTATACTTAGCATGGTAACTGGCACAATATATAGTAGATGTTAAATATATAGTAAATTTATATATAAACACATAATATATAGTAAATATCTTTAAATGATATTTTTAATTTGTAGTCTAAGCTCAACATATTTACATTCTGTCATAATTTTCAGAGAAAGACATAGAAGTAAAATTGGTAGAGATTAAAACAAATAATAGTGCTTTTAATTTTTTTCTCTAACCTATCCATTTTACTTTTTAATAGTTGCGATATTCAGGGAATTTAGATATAGCTTTTTACTACATTTTTGAAAACTCACACTTAAGTAAACTTTTCATTCTTTTTGTTTATTTTTGAAATTGCTACTAACCTGCTTTCATTTGACTTTAATACTGGTTAAAGAATATTTCTGTTATATTTGATTCAGAGTTCTGAAATAAACTTGGAAACTATTGAGATTCTTCTGTAATTAAGTATAGTGTAAAATAGTTGTATGGCTATAAGTAGAATACATTAAATAAATGTAAAAGAAACCTTCTTATCAAGATTTGGAGTAGTATTATAGATTTTACTTCTATTTAAAATAGTAAATAATGTGACTTAGGTACTAGATACCAATATATATGTAGTGATTTCTTCATTACAGAGAAAGTATGTCATTTCAACCTTTCTTCATATTCTACAATGAAAAAAATTATTTAGAATAAGTATAATTTTTAACTCTGGAGTATTTAATGTTCAGAATTGCTGACTTTGCAATTTGTCCAAATTAGGCAAAAAGGGCAGCTAGCTGTAGAAAGAGCTAAACAAGTGGAAGAGTTCCTACAGCGAAAACGCGAAGCTATGCAGAATAAAGCTCGAGGCGAAGGACATATGGTATGATTTTTTTCTTTTTTTCTTTTTTTGAGATTTTAAACATATTAGTTTTCAAAGTGAAGGACTTGAATAAGGTAAGTATAAATAAAAAGATTTATAGTCTAGTAAACTATGCATAGTAATAAGAAATAAAGATACTCAAAAGCCATTAGCAGAGTATAAAGTTGTGACATATTAACCTGTGTATTAAAGTTGTGTTATATTTATAGTTGTGCTATAAAGTTGTACTTATTTAACCTGTCATATGCTATATCTTTTATACCCAAGGGAGAAATTCTATTGTTACTTTGGTTAATTGGGAGTAAGTTCATAGCTGTATCCTTCCTTTAAAAAGAATAGAAATGGGTATAGCAACCCAGATATTCATATTAAAGAAATTCTTACATTGCTGTTTTGTTTTGTTTTGTTTTTCCCCATATGCTTTTGTTTTAAATACTTTTTTTTTTTTTTAAAGATGGCCGGTAAGGGGATCTTAACCCTTGGCTTGGTGTTGTCAGCACCACGCTCAGCCAGTGAGCAAACTGGCCATCCCTATATGGGATCCGAACCGGGGCCTTGGTGTTATCAGCACCACACTCTCCCGAGTGAGCCACGGGCCGGCCCTGGTTTTAAATACTTTTAAGTAGCAAAGAATTTTACAAGAAAAGTGGGAAATTAATATTTGGTTAAAAATATGTGTGACTATGCATTTGCTCAAAAGGAAATTAGAAACAAAATTATTTTAAAGCCATCACTAATGCCAATTAACTAAATTAAGTCATGTATCTAAGTAAATATTAAGCTTTTAGATAATCATTTCAGTAGTTAAAACTCTTAATAATTTTGACTTGTAGAGGTACACAAATGCTTCGTCCACAGAACAACTGGTGATTGTTTCTGTCTGCTCAGCAGCCCATGAAGCATCACACTCACATAGGAAATAGGTCACTTAGTAATAAATTTTTATTAGATTTACTGCATGTCTAGTATAAGTTTATAAGTGGTATCTTTGTGAGTTCATTAATGTAATTATCCAATATAAGATATTTTTTCTTTGAAATAGTATTATAAAAAGTTAGTTGGATTTTTTTTAATGGTTACTCTTTATATTTTTAATACACATACTTTAATTTGTTTTTCTAATATCTGGAATTAATCAGTATTTGCATCCCTCCTCTTAAGAGTAGAAGAGAACCTCCTGCCATTTCTCTTCCCAGTATCTCTCATGTTGATAGCATCTACAATTTTGGTTACAGATTTTTATTTAAAATATTTTAAAACAATCATTAAACTTATTCAGATTTACAAATTTCTTTCCTCAACATTGTTCCTCACATCCTGCCATTCTCCCCTCAGTTTATCTTTCTTCATACTGGAGACTCTCCTCTGGTATTTCTTTTGGAGAGAAGATTTGTTGGGAAATGCCCTTATTTTGTCCTCATGTTTGAATGATAATTTGTAGTGGTGGTCTGTGGTGAATTTGATAAGCATTTGTACTCCTATGTTTGAAATTCTTTTTCCATAGCACTTTGAAGATTCTGCTTTATTGTCTTTTTTTTTTTTTTTTTTTTTTTAAAGATGACCGGTAAGGGGATCTTAACTCTTAACTTGGTGTTGTCAGCACCACGCTCACCCAGTGAGTGAACCGGCCATCCCTATATGGGATCCGAACCCATGGCCTTGGTGTTATCAGCACCGCAGTCTCCCGAGTGAGCCACGGGCCGGCCCTATTGTCTTCTTATGTTCATTGTTGCTAATGAGACATGTGATGTTCTGGATCATGTTCCTTTTTACAGAATTTTTTTCCTGTCTGATAGCTCTTGAGACTATTTTTCTATCCTTGATGTTCTGAAATTTCACTTCAATATTTCTCAATTCTTTTTGTCATTAACCTGTCTCATGTTGTCGCTCGATATTTTCAGTATGAGTATTTTTAGTTCCAGGAACATTCTCAATTATCATTTCTTCAAGTATTCCTTCTCCTTTTTCTCCTCAAGAGAACTCCTGTTAGACTGGTAAATTGGAAACTCTTCATCTGATGTTCTTTTTTCTGTACTTTTTTTTCATCCTTTTTATCCTTTTCTCCCTTTTTACTATGTTTTGAAAAGTTTCCTAGGTAATGTTGCAGCTTACTAATACATTTATTAGTTTTGACTATTCTGCTCTTTAGCCCATCTAATGAGTTTCTTTTTTTTTTTTGTCCTTTTTGAGACCGGCCGCACTGCGCTCAGCCAGTGAGCACTGTGAGAGCACCAGTCATCCCTATATAGGATCCGAACCCGCGGCCGGAGCGCTGCTGCACTCCCAGCGCCGCACTCTCCCGAGTGCGCCACAGGCTCAGCCCTAATGAGTTTCTTTTTACTTCAAAAATTTGTGTTCTTATGTCCATGAATTCTAATTAGTTTTTCCCCAGAACTCTTTGCTTGTGTTCTCATTTCCTGATAATGTAATAGTTGTTATGAAGTCTTGTTCTTAGTGTGCTGTTGGCTATGTTACCTTTGTTTCTTCAGTTTTAAAATATGTTAGCTATTTCATAGTGCTGGCGCTCTTCAAATGTTCACTGTGTTCTTGATAGTGTGGTCATGTTTGGGAGTGTCAATTTCACTGTTCATTGTCTTTGTTTGAGTAGTCCCAGGAGAAGACGGGAGTATGCCACTGCCATGATCTATCCTCTGCATAGTTTTCAGTGACAGTAGAGGATGGGTGGGGCATATTAATATTGTGCCAGTGCAAATATCTTGACAGCTTATTTTCTTTCTGGGCTTAGGAGACTCCCATTCTTCCTAGTTATCACCAATCACCAAAGCTTGGTCCTTTCACTCTAAGCTCTCTCTTACCACTCCGGTCTCAAGGTAACTGACACTGTACTTTGGCTTGTGGAGAAGGGCAGTGTACTGGAGGTAACTCTAACTATAATCACTTTTGTCTGCTATTCGACCTTCTCATGCTTAGCTTTCAATATGTCTTTGAGCATGCTTCAAGTTGCTCTCTCTTTCTGTGGTAGTACTCTCTCTGACATGCTTTTGCTTATGCAATTTTCACACTTTCAACTGATTTTGTGTACTTTCCTTATCTCTGGCTTCCTTTTAGTCTTGTTTTGTTTGTTTTTGAATGCTGCTATGAGTCCACTTAAAACAGCAACTTTTCTATTCTAAGATTTTGTAGGAAAGGAAGCAGTAGTTTTCACTCTGCCATCTAGCAATCAGAAATTAGTATATTTCATTATATTGCTGTATTCTCATATATTTTAAAAACATGCTTTAGAGATAAACAGTGCATTTTAAGAATGATTTTTATACGACTTTCCAAGATTCATTCAGTTTAACCGTATAGAAATTCTTTGTTCCCTAGATGACTTAAATGTATACATAAAATTTTGCCTTAGAAAGATGTGGCTAAAAGTGAAGAATTTGTATTTTTCAGTATATTTGGGTATGTGCCTCATATATTACTTATTTTATTGATTCACTAATTTAGCAAGGCAGTTGTTAAGCATTTTGGGAGTAGAAGGGATATAAAGTTTAATCACACATAGTTTGTCTTTAGAGTACTTTATAATCTAATGTTGGGCAAGAATATATATACTAGTAATGTGAGGCAGAGAGTAGGAGTGAGGGCTGAGGTTAACTGTTTAACCTCAGGATAAGTAGCCTCAGATTTTAATATCTAAATTAAACTTTCTGAAACTTTTTAATGATGACACAGAGGTACTATTTAAAACTGTCTGTCTCTATTAGTTTTCTATTTCTGTGTAACAAGTTGCCATAAATTTAGTGGCTTAAAGCAACGCAAATTTATTCCTCAAACTATCTGTGGGTTAAGAATCTGGCATGCATTAGCTGGATCCTCTAACCGTCTTCTCATAAGGCTGAAATCAAGGTGTCAGCCGGCTATGCCATCTTCTGGAGGCTCAACTAGAACAATGTCTTCTTCCTCGCTCCCTCAGGGTGTTGGCAGAATTCACTTCCTTGCTGCTGTAGGATTGAGGTCTCCATTGTCTGACTAGCTTTTGGCCTGGGGCTACTCTCAACTCCAAGAGGGTGCTCTCAGGCCCTTGACATGTGGACTTCTCCATCTCAGCAATAGAGAACCTCCCGTGCATGAAATCCCACTCAGTCTTGAAACTGCTGACTGCCCTTTCTGCAACGAGCTAAAGAAAACTGTTTTTAAAGGGCTTATGTGATTAGGTCAGGCCTTTCATATAATCTCTCTGTTTTAACACCAGTCATCCCATTTAACATAAAGTACATCATATTCACAGTCATGGGGATTAAGTGGGGCTTATAAACCTGATGGAAGGGATAGGGATGGCAAGAAATCTTGGAGATTTTAGAATTTTTCCAAGTATACTACCTTTATTTATAATTTTAGAGATCACATCTGGGGTCAGTAGGTTAGACTAGGTGGAGGAGCTACTTTTTTTTTTTAACGTACTTTATTTTTTAGAGCAGTTTTAGGTTGACAGCAAAACTGAGTGGAATTTATAATTTTAGAGATCACATCTGGGGTCAGTAGGTTAGACTAGGTGGAGGAGCTACTTTTTTTTTTAACGTACTTTATTTTTTAGAGCAGTTTTAGGTTGACAGCAAAACTGAGTGGAAAGTACAGAGATTTCTCATGTATCCCCTTCCCCTACTCATGCATGGCCTCCTTCATTATTAACATCCTCCACCAGAGTGGTACATTTGTTCCATTTGATAAACCTACATTGACATATCTTTATCACCCAAAGTCCATAGTTTCCATTAGGGCTTGCTTTGGGTATTGTACATTCTATGGGTTTGAACAAATATATAATGGCATGTATTCACCATTATAGTGTCATACAGAATAGTTTCCCTGTCATAAGAGGAGCTTCTTTTAAGTGCTGTCTTTAGCAACATGCTTCATATTAGAACATACTACCAATGTTTCTAGACAAAACTTTTTCTCATTGGTTTTTAAGATACAGTTTAAATATAATAAAATTCACCAGTGTTAAGTATATATCTTGATGAGTATTGACAAATGTGTATAGTCAT